AATATAGTTCCGATTACATTCATTGTGGAAATTTCTTTGAAACCACATTAATATAATAACGGCTTTCGTATCACAATTCCCGATGTATCCTAACGTCACGTCACCCAACTTTCGGACAATTGAGATTTCACCGTATTAACATCCATATAATAACAATAAACACGGGCACATAATACGGTGGGCAGATCAAAAAATGAGAAAAAAATCGAACATCTGCCGCTCGCACGCCATTCAATCCTTCTGCCTCGCGATGCAGATGAAGAATAATAATGCACGCGCGTGCCACGCGCAGGAGTACGACGACGCGGGTAAAATACGCAAGAGTAGGGTCGCGCATTCAAAACGTACGATACCGGCTACACTCGATTCTCTCTTTTGCTTGTGCTAGAAAGATACAAGACGTGTCTGTATGGCTTTTGCAGCTGAAGCTATGTCACATCTTCGGATACACGACACTGCCCATTCCAGCCGGTAGCTTCGGACAGAAATAGAAATGGTCGACACGCGTCACCGCGTAAGAAGTAAATCGTGGCCGATCGATCCCGCGGGGGATCGCGGTCGCGAAGACGGGGAGCCTTCACGCATCAACGAGGAGTAACCGTGCACGTACACGGAGGAGACGCAATTACGCGTGCGATTACGACCCCGATCGACGACGACCACCATAATGGGAGTGACTCTCCACGTGGCCATGAGCGCTCGAGCATAGAGACGCGTGCGTGGCCCACTTGCGAAATGCAGGTTCCACACGCATTTCCATGAAACCCATTACATTGTGCAAGCCCCTTAGAAGGATCAACTATGCGCAACCCAATTTCGAAAACTGCGTCGCGCTGCCGCGGCATCGCACAGTTACGAGAGCTTCCGGTCTCAAAACACGTCGCGAAAGAACATATCCATTCGAGACGATATAGATCAATATATTCAGATTTTAAAGATCTTTGGGTTAATTTTGTATTTGTGTACGTAAATAAAGAATTCGGAAACTAAAGGCGCAAAGTTACTATTAAAAATTACTTGAAAAGTTTTATAAAATGTCAATCGTATATTAGTGAAATGCATTTCCATCTTATTGTGCTTGAACTTCTAAATACACACTTTGGAGACTCTCCAAGACAAACCAGAAGAAGTAAAAATCAGAAATAAGAATACGTCTGGAATGTGGAACTGATTTTCTCTTAGCAGAATTTCGTGTTCTAATTTATAGATTTATAGACAAAATATAGACGAAACTCGAGTGGAGAGATCAGCTGTGGCAATTGCAAAAAAAGTCGCATGCCTATACTTCGTGTTCTGCTTTGATTTGGCCTTACACTCGACCGCTCAAAGCAGGTCGCGCAGTTGTATGGAAAATAAATTTCGGACGCGCCGCAAAGGAATGTGTGAAACCACCATCATCCACGAAGCGATACTATACTCACGGCGTTTATATACTTTATATACAACCCTCGAAACGCGTGTCACGTCATCCCCTCGTCCCTCCACGAGCAAGCAGGTTTCTATCGATTGCTGCGCGAGGGTCCTGACGTTCTGAGGGGGGTGATTTAGGCTCCCCATAGTGCGAGTCCGAGGCATTAAAGTCTGATGCTCTTTCGGGGGCCGGCCGGGCCGACACGGCCGGAGGCTGCGCGCGTTGCACCGGCATAAGCTCTCGAAGATGAATGCGTCTGAGGCTCACGCACACCTTCCCGATGTAGAAATCCTCACTCCTCGCTTCCCAGTCCCCCCCTGAGTTCAGTGTTTGCTGAATTATTCAATCCTGTTTCATTCTTAAGGACACTCATTCGTGTATTGGGACCCTTGAGAAACGCGACGCTATATACGATGAGATAAGCGAGAATTCATTTCCTCTTCAAACACTCCTTTGTTCCTTCCGATACATTCACATTATTACACTGCAAATATGTTATTTATAAATTGACAGAAAGATCTATTTTAATCGCGTGATTTCGGAGAAATTTATATTCTAATCAAAACTAACAAAAGAGTTGGTTCGAATTTCATCCACGAGTAAATGTGGAACGCACAACCAAACGTGTCACGTGGCAATGAAACCAATCGCGCTGCAAGAAATTAATATCTCAAGGCGGTAAATATTTAACGCAATTTGCGAATTTTAATCTTCAGGACACAGAGTTTCGTTTTTATATTCTTCTCCCTCGACGTGGAAATGTATTGGAATTGATTTTACGCGATCCTCACCAGAGCTCACGGGCAGGCGCGCAGCCCTGCGGTTTTCCGCTCGCGTTCTGCTCGAAAGTTTCGTTCGGGAATGACAGCAAGCGACGTTGAAGTGTATATCCGTTATTTTCCGAGCGATCGAACATTTGCTCGTCGCACGGAACGAACGAGAGAAGAAGGCGAGAATGGGAACCGCCGTAGCAACTGTGGGAAAGCGACGTCGTTGGCTTCGCTATCAGCTGCTCGGGATGGCGAAGCCATTGAATTCCCTGAGACAAAGGGAGCGGTAGGGCGGGATGCCACGTCGGGATTTGTTTCACGATCGAGCTTGAATTGCTTCGAATCCCCTATGAACGAAGGCTAGATCCCGTCAGGATTTAATAATTAAACCGAATTCAAATCAGAGTTTAATTTAACGATTATACGAAAGTAATTTGAGCAATTTAATATAATATTTTAATTTAATATAATTTAATTAAATCTTATTTTCATTTTTGTATTAAACTAATAAGATTTTATCTTAGACTGAATTAACTTCGATTTGATTTAATTTAAATTAATTTTGTGCGAAACTATAATCATACATTTTTATTTAATAATCGGAAAGTTGACGCCGATTGGAATAAGTTCATAATAATCCAACGCAATAATCTTGATCTCAAATAGTGCTGTCGTCGAGGAAGACACGCGCCTTCGCACGCAACGAAAATTAATCCTGCTTTACGTCCGTACGCGTGATTCATACGAGAAATATGAGTAGGGGACGGGCAGGGAAGTAGGGCCGATACGTACGTGATTCTACAATCCTGTCGGTCGGTGCTGCAAACAGGTCGGGAGAAATTAACGAGAGTACCGCCGCTCGTAAATCGTGGCACTTAACGATCGATGAGCCAGCGACAAAAACCGATGCTCATCGCACGCAACTCTCATTTGCATCGCGAAATTTATATAATGAGAGACCGCGTCCATCACAACGTTGCACTTGAAATTAAACCCCTTGCCGACCGTGAAAAGAGAGGGGGAGGGGGAGAGAGAGAGAGAGAGAGCTCTTCTAAGAAGAACGATAAATCGGACAAACCTGCGAGAACTCGTTTAAGTATAAATGAACGTAATTACGACTGAACCAATAAAAACTCAATGTCACGGTACAACTAGTTTTACACGTATGTGCTCATGTATATTAAATAAAACGAGATGTAATTGATTTGAGCAAAAATGGTAAAAGAATCAGTTCTTCAATATAGTTTTTATAAAAAAAAACAGTTGAAGAATGTATAACTTCCAATTGCTATTTCATTTTTATATCTAAAATACATATTTCGCAATTGAGAAGAAACTGCTTCTTTTACCACCATTTTAAAAATACTTTTAATTTTGGCTGAGAAGAAATAATTATTTCCTGGTATATAAATATTACAAATTAATTTTGCATTTGCCAATTTATGTAATTTGATTCTCTCAACTTTAAGATTTAGCTAAAGTCCAAATCGTAAAGTAAACAAAAGCAATAAAAGAGATCAATCGTTTCCCTGATTAAATAATTAAATTCAAAGAATATTTCAAAGAAATAGATTTTTTCTTTCCTCAGTCTATCGACTTGCTAGCGTAACCAACGAGATCTACGAAGCGTAAAAGATGCATTTGCATATCAATCCTTCGCGGCCCACTCGCGATGCAATAACGTACACCGATCTTCGCTAGAAAATTGCGCGCCGATCACTTTTTCCACCCACGATTTCCGACTGCCTGCAACACCGCCAACGACTTCTCGTCAGAAAATATCTCTCTCGAAATTTTTCTACAAAAATTCATGCATGTTTGCATGATTTATTAACAAATACTTTTGTCATTCATTTAAAGCACATTAACATTTCATAATTTTTCTACATCGCCGGTAACAATCTATTCGTCTGGGAATTTTTCAAAGATTACAATTAACCGCAACGGAAAATTCTCATGTCATTGAATCATTGTGCAATTATTCTATAAACATAATAATAGTAATTGAATCCACAATTGCAGTCGAGATATCTAAACATCTCTTTGCTAACCTCGCATTTAATGCAGTGGTCAATTTCTTGTTATTACAACAAAATTGCCTTTCTGCTTAGTAACAAATGAAACATATTACTCGTTAGACATCGTTAATATACAATTTTGTAACTTATTAGTATTACTGTTTAATAAAAACTAATTTTTTTTCTTCAAATTTTTAACTTTTGGGTGCTACACAATATACGTATACAATATGTGACTATCACAAAATATCAAATTCTGTTTAACAATAAGATTATAAGCTAAGTTTGTATGAAAATGACCTTACAATAACGATCTGAGAGTGGACGCAGTTAAAGCAAGGACATTTCTCTCAATTCTCCTTAGAATGAGCTCGAACATGATTCATCAGTTATGGTTCTCGTCGTAAACGTTTCTGCGGGACATAGAAGCCAGTATCGAAAACTATTCTCGTACGAAAACACATTCTCGGATGTTAGCAGTCGAACCGAGCAACGATTTCTAAACACTCGTGGTATTTCTAAATTCTAATCGCGTAGTAATTCTAAACTTTAATTCTAATAAAGTTGAATCGAGAACATTCTTGCTTCTTTGATATCGCCATTGGATAAAAGTGTTACAAAGAGCAATTCTGTAAATCAATTAAAATAAAAAGATAAGAAATATATAATCTTAATATTTTAAGATTATAATTCCCCCCTCCCTCTCTTTCTCTTTCTGTTAAAATAATATGTACAGTCATACTACAGAGATTTCTGTTTGTTGATTTATGAGAAGAGAGTCAATCCTGTTTGTTTTTTTAGATTCCCCCAACGCTTCAGAAATATCGAGCCGTTCCGGAACAGGATACTCTTTAGAGATTCAACGAGAAGAAGACCTCCCGTGCGAGATATTCCTTAGAATTTTCAAGGGCTGACTCTCCGAGGAAGAATCCTGATACGATCCCAGCTCCCTTCTAAGGGAGGGATGTTACTATAATACGCGGATCAGAATTCGGCCGCCCACGATGCTCCGCCATTCTAAACCACTAACCAGACGGTAACTTGGCCAACTGTTATGTATTAAATGCTTATTGTTGCAAAATATAATAACAATAAAAGTTACAGCATCAAGTAGTGTAATATGAAAAAATAAATAAAAATGATATGACAAATAATAAAACACATTAAATTTAAATGAAGCAAATAAAAAGATATATTAAATTTATTTATTAAATTTCGAATTAAAATTCAATATAGGAATATCATAATTTTAAAACTACGTCATGTGACACAATAATTATTTATTTATTTATTTATTAAATATATATTATCATTTAAAAAGATATTGAAAGACTCAATAACCAGGATAAAAGAATGGCTCAATGAAAATTAGCATATGGCTTTCACGTTCAACGAGCTGCACCTATATATCGATTGATCGGAAAAAAAGCTGCATGTTGCATCTGCTCTTTCCGCGCGCGCCACCCTTAAGAGCGGCTCGATTAATATCACGATGGCCCTTTCGTCGTGCAAGAATGAAAGGGCGGAGAATGGGGGCATCATACGTACTAGAGGGGGCAGGAAATTGCTTTGGAAATGGTTCTAATTTCCTGGCCTCGCAAGGAGAAGTACCAGGCAGTATCCCGATCTGTTCCGTTGATGTTCCATGATCCGTTGTAATCGATCGAATCGCGATTCTTGCCTTTTCATCGTCTAAACTACAGGTGATCAACATTAGCAGCACACGTGATGGCACGCGGATCTCATTACGAGAGTGAACAATAAGCTTTGTTCGCGCGTTTTAACCATGTATTTTACCAATTTCAGAATTTCCTTCGCGTTAATAATAAAAGGCACAATAACATAGAAGTAACATAAAAATAATAAAAAATAATGCTTTTCAAAAAAATTGAATCAAAGTATTGTTGTCAAAAATGTAAAAACTATGATTACATTGAATTAACATAGATTAACAAAAATATTCAATGGTTACAATTTCAATGTAATAATGAGAAAGTTATTGAAGCTGTAACGAAGATTTGATACGTTTATAAGAAAAAGTTGAATGACTCGGTTTTAAAAAGGGGAATTGTGCGGCCTAATCCGAAACGGTGAACTACCTTCGCGAAAAACGTCGACGAGAAGTGGAGACTCATCATCTGATCAAAGAGTTTCCGCCGCTCGACTCCTCGCGAAACGATTTAACCCGCAGGGGGAAACTCAATTCAGAGTTGGCCGAGAACTTGATCTATTTTCTTAATGGTCGCTCTCCGTTGGCATGCGTCCTAATGCAGTGGCGCCCACACATGCCTCATTGAGAGAGCTTTCAGGCTCTAGAGATATTCGAGAATTATACCACAACCTCTTGAAGAATTCCATTTGTACAGCTATATTTAATATTATCCTCATATACATAACATAGAATTAAGTTAGATATTAAAAGGCAGTATTCATGACGGAAAAAAATTATTTGGAACACTGAAAAATTTATAAAAATTATATAAGTCTCTCTGAAGTGAAGCTATACTCGCAAACAGCCCGAAATGGTTCGGGATTTGAGAACCGCCGTCTTAATGGCCGACGACTTGCGCGTCTTATCTTCAGGGTCCGCGGACCTCGAAACTTTAGATCGGACCGACTGACTTCTCTTCGTATACGCAATCGGAATACGCAGTCGGGGCGGCTTTTGATACCGTGCGGCTGTCGCCGGTCGCCGGCGCGATGATGGATGACTTTGCGCGCGCGGCAAGAACGAGCTGGCCCCGGTTGCCTCGTCAACGTTGGGAAACCACCGCGTCGGGCGACGACGAGACGGCGCGCGATGCATCCGACGATCGTGATTAATGGCAGCAACATTGTAGCGGCGGAGACTCTCCGCTGGTCGAGACGACAGGTGCCATTGAGGCAGCAACGGGGCGAATTAAACGTGCGACTCTGTCACGCCGCCGGCTTTCGACCTGTCCGGCATTTGTCCGGCTCCGAGCTGCTGCGTCGCGTCGCCTCGCCTCGCGGCGGCAAAACCAGTCCGATCTGATCTCACGGGACTTATATCTCACGGATATTACAGCGCGGAACTCGCGGATATCCTTCCACCAGCGATCAGAATAGGAACTTAATTATAGTTACTTTGACTAATTGAAATTAAACGAAAAAAATACCAAGAAGTTATTTTTTTAAATATTGAAACTTGCTAAACGATGACAAAAACTTCATCATAGATATCGAATGACAATTTTAAAAATGTAATATTTTCAAAATTTTATAACAAAATTTTAATTTTGTTATTTAAAAATATTTTTTATCCAATTTTGAAGTTTTAAGAGATAAAGAAATTAAAAACAAAGATATAAACAGACAAATATAAAAGATTAATTCGCATCTATAAATGGATCGATTGATGATGATCTTACATTTTATTCATTTTACGAAGAAAAAAATTTGTGATACTGGTAAATTTTCAAGTCTACACCACTGTCGACCGTACTTCATTAAATAAGTCTGCGGTTGAAGATGCTATCGCCTTTTGACACACTCAGTCAATTAAACTGAACCTCTCTCTTGACAGGGCTCGCTTAATTGATCCAATTTACAAAGAGATTAAGCGCGTTCCGAGACGACTTCGAAGGCAGTCGGGTGGCCAAAATTTCCTGGCCAAGCGGCCAATAATTATAGCGTCCGCCAGGTATTTGGTTAAGATCACGAGATCCCTCACAACGATATCGTTTCGTTCTCTTCCTCGACAAGAAGGTCTCGTCGGCTTCGAATAATTATCACTTTCCGGACGGCCATGTTTTTATCCCCATCTAGCACTTGGTATAATGAATCGGTGGAATATAGTTGTCATTTCTTATTTGCATTGAATTTTTAACACCATTTTTAGCCAGCAGAATTCTTATCTAATATATCTTATCAGTTATATCTATATGAATAATCTATAATTACCATACAATTAAATGTTTTGTTTTGTAAAAATATTTTCTGTCAAACTTTCGACATTTTATTTTTAGTCGACGAGATTTATATCTTATCAGTCATGAATAATATACACATTTGTCTTGTTAAATAAAATTACTCAAAAATACGACTTTCCTGTCTCATTTTAATTTTTCTTTCAATTTATTGCATGTTTATATCAAAATATAGGAATCAGAAAGTTCAATATTACAACATTATCGAATATTAATGATTCCAACGTGTTTTTATCGATATGCAGGATAAATATTTGTGTGTCACGTCGATATTCTTAAAATATACATGATCGCGCGGTCATTCCGGAGCCGCCCTTGATTCGCCCAGGACCATAGGAGACCGAAATAACTCGAGTCCCCGAGCGCAAAGAACAACATTTTCAGGCCCGTTCTAATGGCCTCTCGAGAACCCTTTCTTGCCGAGTTTGGCTGCGCGAAGGTGTAAATTGGATGGCGACGACGAACAAGAACTTTGTTTTGGCGTATCGAAAGAAAAAGTCATCGTCTCCAAGTCGTGTCGATGATAATCGCACACATCACGGGCTCTTATCGAGCTTTCTCTCACGCATGGAAAAGAATGTTACAGATTACTGTCATGCCGCGCTGATTTGTGCATGCAGTGAAGGAAAAAAATGGAGTTGCTTTCTCTAGAGAAGCGGTATAAGTTTGTGTACAAAAATAGTACCTGAATTTTATTACCTCTTATAACGCGTAGTTAAAAATACGAATCATTTTAAAGATAATTTCAATCTCCTTTATTACCACAGTTTATTTTAATATTTATATATCAATAGTTATTTATTTGTATATGTATTTAATAGCTAGAACGAATTTTGAAATCCTTGCGTACTTGACAGTTTAAAGTACCTTTTAATTTATGGCTCAAACTTAGGGGTTTAAAAGCAGTTTTGAATAAACCATTAATTTTGAACTACAGACTCGTCGATGGTGATCGACATGAGGTCAGGTAGCTTGAATTAGAAAACGTCGACCACCAAAGTGCCGATATAAAAACATTACCGCAGACAGAATCACCTGAGAGTTCTGCGAAGACGAGTTTCAGGCATGACTAATCTCGTGAACGACGGAATTATTAATATGCCGTGCAGGCAAAATCACGTCCATGATATCTTAATTTTTTCCCCAACCGTTATTGTATTAATAATTTATTTTATCTCTCGATTAATATTATAACTACCAAAAGTCGCACATATAAAGGTAAACATTACCAATTTAAATTTCTTCTATGTAGGTGACGATTCCGAAAATTTATGGCGAGTAAAAATGTAACGTAAAAACGATTAATTGACTACATTTCATGTTATACTAAAGATATTTGTTTGCCTCTACAGTACATTTCTCCTCGAGTACTAGTTGGCTTCCTTGGAGGTTGCCATTGATCACGAAGGTAGGGTCTTCTATGAATCAAGATTATCTACCGAGCGTGAGAATCACCGCCGCGATCGCAGCTCGTTAACTTAATCCGATGAAGAATTGACAAGACGGTGCTAGCTATATTTCCATCGCGAACTACATTCTTGGTAGAGTGGTTAGTTAGCACGCGTTAAAAATCGTGATTTATCTCGAACAATATACAGATTAATTTCTCTCGCTTTTCATTCAAGAACAGATTATGTATTTTTACGCAGTGCAATCTTTAAAATTAGTTGCGAACTGATTACTATTAATTGGCGGTATAAAAAAATAACATAGTAAGCGATATAGAAAATTAATGGAACGTAAATAAAAAATGTATTTTCATTTATTTAATAAATAAATGCTTACAAGGCGTGTGCGACTTTAAGGTATCAGGGTCTTCGAAAATTTATTTTACAACTTGTAAAACCAAATTGACCAGCAGCGTACAATATACGTAAAAAATACTGCCATAAAAATATTATTGCGTGAGAAGAAATATTTTTTTCTTAGGTACTCGAAAGTGCACTTGACTGGAATACCGGAATAATAATAGCGACACTAAGGCGCGCCGACGAGGGAAACACTCTTTTCTCAGTTTCCCCGCATATCTCGTCGGATTTTCTGTGTATTTTACAAAGCGGTCAAACGAGCCTTCTACCTGAACCTTCGAAGGTGTAAGGGCGTGCGGCGTTTCCTCAAAGATTCAAATGCAGCGTGAGAGGAAGAAAGAAGGAGAGACATCAGATACAAGTCTGAGAAGCTCGTTTTAAAGGCCCCCTTTAAATTTTTGCAGGTTTATACGTGCGGGTTTGCTCGCTCGGAAAAATACCTCTTTATCCCGCGGATACCATTGTCAACCAACAATACCGCAGTATATACAAATTCGTCTCTAAAAACCCGTATAATCGCCCGCGAGTTTCTTTCACCGATCGCTCTGGGAAACGTGGCGCGCAAATCTTTATAATGTTTAAGCCTTGGAATTCTTACTTTGTCATGAATCTAATTCTTAAACACCCGGGACAAAGTACAATGACATTTCCCTCGTCTACTTTCCCGACAGGTTCGGTGCACGTTTTCTGTTCGAAACCGTGAAATGTGTCACACTTTTAAGTAGTCACGAAAATTTTAAAAAGATAGAACTGTGCCATTGCAAACGCACCGTAAAGCTGTCTCACGTTTCGCGTTAAAATATATTTTCCATAGTATACGATCAGATTTATGTAAATATGTCTAGAATTAAATGTGCACGTAATTCGCGAGACGAAATAAATCAGTGAAAATCACTACCTTCGATGTTACCGTGAAAAAAACAGAGTCGAAGTTATTCACAAATTTTCAGAGTTAACCAAGACGACCAAGACTGTTCTTATCTTTCAAATGCTTCAAAAGATTTATAAATGTGCTGCGTAAACTGTACACAATACAAAAGTAAAAACTTTTATGTGAGAAAGAAGCTTCTCTCTGCCTTTATTTATGTTTACGACCATTCCTTATCCTTAAGATACGTTAGGATACGGTCTTCAAAATTTGTCTACCTATTTCAAATATATCTTGTGTAACTAGTATCGTTTCTCTCCACAGGTTGTACACCTGTGGAGAGAAACGTTGATTGTCATGGATCTATTAAGGACACGTTAAGAATCGAAAGATTCTTGCGAAATATTACACGACCAAATATCCGACAGATTGGCTTGAATCGACACAGCTCGTTCGACCGTCGCGACGTAAGGTGCAACCCACGTGCACACCGTGACATTCCAATCGTGACTTGCAATCTGCATTCGTAACTTCGTATCTACTCCGACCAATGTCCGATCTTTTACGCTTAGCCTCCTTTTAAAACGGCGCGGCCGCGGGACGAATAAAAACTCGCTAAGTAAAGCTGCCTCGTTGAAAGCGCGATAATTGCAGTACCGTTAGCTCATGTTTAGATAATTACAGGCTTTTAAAGCAAATACGTTTACTGCTGTAAGCTCTGGATTTGTATCGCCGTTCGTTGGCCAGGCAAAAAGGAATAATTGTTCTATGTCACAGATTTAATTCTTGATGAAAAAAAAAACAAAGTCTCGTGTGTTATTCATAAAGCAGTAACCGTTAAATTAAAAAGTTCTTTCCTTCCGAATGAAAGAAACAATAACTATAACTTTAATTTCTTGCAGAGAATATACGCAGCTTATTTACGTTTAATTTGTTACGAGGTTGAAAAAGCGAGGAGAAAATTTACTCGGCACTGCCATGCCGCTTCCACGCTCGAGTTCAAATGATTCCACTGATAAAACGCTGATGCATGCCGTCGCAATGGCTCTTCTTACGTTAAGACAATCAGTCGTGTATCGGTGACATTGAATGTCGCGATGTGCCCGTAATCGCGTGTTCGATCGTGCCGGTTGCAAATGCGCATTTTGCAATGCACGAAAGAAGAAGAATAATCGACGGGAATGCGGACGACGTCGTCACGAGAGCACCTATAAAATGTGTTTGGTCGATGCGGGAAGAAGCGGACGTTATGTCAGTCTCTCGGAAGCCAAATCGATCACAACTTCGCGAGATAAAAAAAGAAGCAGACAAAAGTTGATGAAGTTACGCGAGGTAATCACGGTGCCAAGGTGCTAAAGAAATTTATTCAACGAGTTAGCTTCCGAGACGCTCGTATCTCGAAACGAAAGAATCTGCCGATGGAATAAATCGGGAGGGTGCCTCCTCCTCCTCCTCCTCCTTGCCTCCTCTCCGGGCGCGATGCCTCACAAAAGACTCACAAAAGACTCACTGAACCGCGACACGAGCGAAAATGTGTCATTACCGCGCAAATTACGATGCCGGCGCTTCCGTACGCATCCTGCGTCCCTCGATATAATTGCCGTGAATTAGCGGTCGATCGATGAACAGCCCGTGGAGAGATGTCGGCGGCGGTACATATCGCGGGGACTACTAACTCTCTCGTGGCTACTAACATCGTTACGCCACTATATTTCTCGGAGCGTAAATTACATGGGGGTTTTGGAGGAGATAAAAGATGCCAGATATAGCGCTTGCAGATTCAGAAATAGGATTACTCCAATCGCGCTTTCACGATTATTATCGCAAAGTCGTGAAAGGTGTAACGTGCGCGGCGGCCAATTTTCTGCTCGTTGTCTAAATGCAGTATTTATATCGATCTCGTTAGCTGTACGATTATTCTTTAACGTGAATTAATAAAAATCCACTTTAAATTGTCTAAAATTTGCGTCAGATTTCAGGATAGAAATCTGACATATTCCTACTTATAATTTTTTTAGTCCACGCATTTAGTTGACGCATTACGTGTGCATTTCAATATATTTTAATTTTACGCATGTATGTATTTTGATTTTTCTATTATTCTTTGTATCGCACGTATATTGTATATAAAATCATAAATAAAATTAAATATCATCCTGAATTCTAACACAAACTTATGCCATCTATTTAAGCCATTTACAATGGGCTTAAATTCAAAAAACAAAAATGTAACGAAATTAGTTAAGCGTCCGGGAAAAGGCTTACTTTATTTCTCAAAAAGTAAAATCAGAAATGAATTAAAATCCTATCCTTCATTATTTGAATAAATTAAGATAACGCAAAAATGCCCGTAATACAATTGTCACGCGTTTGTCATTACGCATCCCTCGCTTCGGTTAAATTTGAACGCCAACACGCGCAACGGTTGATCTCATTCATCGCGTAATACGCGAAGTAACCAGTGTAAGCACACGAGCTTTAATCGATCGCCCCCGATTCGCGGGGGAGAGAGGGAGGATGCAAGCCATCGCCGCGTGAATTACCGGTGTTGTCGGACGCGACCCCGGGACCGGGAGTCGCGTGATAATCCTCGGCCGTGGCACGTGGCAGACCGAGACTTAAGGGGGCGATTATGTGTGTACAACATACATACGAAGATTGAAAAGTACTCACTCTGACAGCTGGCGGCTCCCAGAAGGACGATCAGCAGCAGGATCCTCGTCGGCTCCATTCTCCGCGGAGGTTGTTTCTGCAGCTGTCACAGCACACTTATTAACACTCCCGGGGGCGTAGAGTCGTCCAGACGTCACTCGAGAAACCACGGCGTCAAAAAGGAGCCCCCGCGACGCGACGGCCAAACGAACGACCGACGAAACTCCAGATTATCCACAACGGAGGCACAAAAGTTCCTTTCCTCGCGTCCCTCGTCCTTCTCAAGCGCACGGTCCGCGCGAGCTCGCCGCGAGGTGTTCCGCTTCCCCGTCCTCCTCTCCCCCTCCGTTTCTCTTCCGTCTTCGCGAGGAGACGAAACGGAGCGTGCAGGCACTTTCCGCGCTAATTTCACCGTGCAGAGGCGTGAGTGGATACCGTTCCGCGCCTCCCAACGTCACGCCGGTTTCCCTCGATAACGGCACGACGACGACGACGACGCTCGGCCCGCCGGCTGATGTACGAATTGTTTCTTCCCCTCAGAAGAATAGAGGAACGAGGAACAGAGAGAAAACCCTCGCCCTCTCCTTTCTCGGTGTTTATCGCCGGCGCGCGAGAGAGAGAGGAAGGACCGCGGTGCGATCTTCTCGGCTCATGCGTGCGGACGACACCGCGTCGGCTGCGACCCTTTCGCGGATGGGTTGCGACAGTGCTTGACAGACGCGCGTATATTTGGAATACCGGCTGGCACACACGCCGTGTCCGTCGATCGGCGTTAAATGCGTTGCGTGAGACGTGCGGTGGAAAGGCGACCGCGCGGCGCAGCGGCTCGCAGGCGAATGCCACCGGGAGGCGAGAGAGTGAGAGAGCGCCGCTCTTCCGAGTTCCGCGTCGGCATAGGTGCGCGTCCGCAAGTCTCCCCCCTCCCCGGCCGCTCTTCCGCCGGCCGGGCCGGCGGCGCCGCGCTCCCCCCTCCCGCCGGGCGGCGTCGGGCGCGCGTGCGGTCGACGCATCAATTAAATATGTTTGAATCGGAGCCGACGCGCGACGGCGTCCGTCGCCGCGGCCAGGACCTCCGAAAAATTCGGCTCCTCCGGGACCTTTTCTCCCTCTCAATTCCGGTTTCTGAAAAGGAGATTCTCGAATGAGTAATAGAGCCGAGATAAACGTCTTTGTTAGCCAAATCGATGAATCATCGGTCATTTGAATCTTACCCAATCAGCAAGCTTTAATTTGACTCAGTTAGGAGTAAGCGCAACTTTTTTCACTATTTTCAAAAATGTATAAGCGTCTTTTGTAATTGCGCGCGGTATTTTTGTCGGATTAAATGGCGCGTACGAAATGAACATGGATATTACACGCGGATGATATTATGACGTGATAAATAATACACACCGCAACCCGCAACCGTAATCGATATTATAATCAGCGTCGCTTCGAATTTCGCACACCCTCGTGCGAAATCGTGACGCACCGCTTTCGAGATGAAACCGATTTATTATTGTTTATGCAGCCGCTAAATATACGTACGATCGTTTGCTTTTATTTGATAATTTTACTCTTTTTACTTTAGTCATTACATGACGTTATTTACAATTGAAAAATAAAGCGTTGAGAACGATGTTTGAAAGCACGATTTTGATTCAAAGAAATCTTTGCGCAAAATAGAAAAATAAACATATTCTTTCTTTAATCTTCAATCGGATTGAATAACTTGAAAATTTATAGTTTCTCTCCCTCCAATTTTTTTTTCTTTCTAAACAAAGTTTAGGAGATATATTGATGATAGCACCGTGAAATGGTTTGGAAAACAAGATCATTCACCCAGTGGGTACCCGCACAAAACGAGGTTCATCGATGCGAGAAAGTTTTATAATTTCTAACAGAAATATTGTATCTGTCGATGACCTATAGCGGGAGCATTATATTTGGCTGAAGTTCAACTAGTTCTCAACAGTGAATATTTTAATTTATATCGCGTATATACATATACAATTGCAATATATAAAATAATAATGCAATATGCTATTTCTCACAACTCCGTTTACTAACGTATACAAATCAGCATCGAAAATGCAAATATCGGTAATATAGTATGCGATCATATGTATGTAAATATATGCAATATATCTTGTATTGATAATATCAGTGATTTTGTATTTGTAATTCGTCGTTGAGCACACGAGAATAAAACACGAATAATGTAACTATATTTACCACACCCAAGTAACATCCGAATACAAATGAAAGCTGCATTCCTTCCACACACATTTTCGGGAGGGATTCTTGTAAGTGCTTCCAGTTGTGTTGTATATTACATACAAAAATTATCTTATTATAGCATCTCGATCGAAGGCTAGATTGAGTGGCTCAGGTACGCGTTTAGACGCAACAATGTTGGGCGTAGAAACGCCGAGAATGAATGAATGGACGGATCGGTGAATGAACGTATACCGGACGCACACGCGCACGGGGGGATGAGGGGGCAGGACAGGGGGCTTCGGATTCCATTCCCATTCCGATCCCAGTCCCATTCTCGTTCCCTCAACCCTTCCGATGTGCCTTGTGGCATGAACGAGCAACGAGATTGGAATCCATAAAGAGTATTCTCCCGCAACCCATTGAACGTCGCCAAATCCCACATTTCCTTCATAATCCCTGTCGTGTGTCGGTAACGATAATCGAAAAAACAAATAATACTATTTTTTTTTTAATCAGATCCTCCCCTCGGGAGCTTGACGCATGATTTAGAGATGCTGCTGTCTGGCTTACGGAAGATCGTATTAAGATTAACGTCGACGCGGACACGAACCTATCGCTGGTCCGAGATAGCTCTGCACACAGAGTCGAATGTTTTATCTCCTTTCGAAAGGAGGAAAGTAACGAGTTCATCGGGAATGGTTGTCTCGGGACGAGAATTCCCTCGTCGTTCCTAGATTAACATCTTCGCCGAAAAGGACTTTCCGAGTATTTCTCGGAAAAAGATTTTAGGAAGCGTGGATCGTTAGTATTCAACGAGGAATTACGTATCATGGCTACCCAAATTTAAATTCAAACGCGATATTCATCAGAGATGGGCTCCTTATATTCGCGATAAAGGAAAAGACGCGTACAAAATAATTCGTCACGGGGATGTTAATGATTTTTGTAAGCGTGCTGGCGATCGTGATTTTCGATCGTGTTGCGCTTGGCAACAAGCTGCGCCCTCAGCAGTTTCTCCATGGTGGGTCTCGGCACTCGCGACAATGGGGATTTTTCCTGCCCCCACGATGGCGAGACCCGGCGAGACTACAAAGTGCTTTATGCGGAGCGCTGAATTCGTAAGAAAAGGCAGGAGAAGACTGAAAACTCACATAACGGTCGCGCGCGGTAACAAGTTACAGGCTTGCTACAGAGGGCAAATGGTGGGCCGGTCCTTTTTCTCGCTCGGAGCTGACTGTGACTGCCAAAGAGCAACAATGTGTAGATGAATATTGAACGCACGATCCCCTCAGAATTTTTATTCTTCGTGGTCGGCCAATACAAAACTGTTGCAGCATTTTGAGTCTCGTATTTTCACGTTCGAACCTGCGTGAAGCTTAGCAAAATTTTGTGACTCCGGTCAAGACAGACGTTCTTGTCTACATTGATATGCTAGAACTGCCCCTTGTTGTGACTGCACGTTACCTGTCGCTGATAATCGAATAAACATATCAAACCGTGTAATCCGTGAAAATCACGCAATTTTTCGGCACTTTTCTATGTATGTATGAAAATAAGTTACATTATAAAATAAGAAGGCTCTTCCCAGCGAGAAATGACCCATCGAATCGACGTCTAATTGACGTTGAAAGACGTCATTTATATATATTTCTTTATGGCTTTATTCACACGATGTATAATACCTAGTGTTTTAACAATTTGTGTTATTTATGAACTCATATATTTTCATATACTTCATAGTTTTTAATTGGTTAAGACACAAGGTCGCGTTATTAAAAATATATAAGAGGTATCTGCTGCGCAGAATCATTTAATTACGTTGCAGATTTCACGGATTACAACGAAAGACCATCGGCTTAATTATCCGACTAGCTTTTGCGACAGTCGCTAATTGCATTGCCTTTGTCTAGTTGCATCGCCATCATTACCGTCGAGTCACTGTATCGTCATCATTATCTAAATTAAGTAGACGACATTGTTCTTAATGCTGTGAATAATAACAACCACTGAAACGGCATTAATAAGCAATTGTATGTACGACGAATAGCCTCTAAATTACACTTTAAATACGCGGCATTATTAAGTTTTTTTTTTTATAAGTGACATGTGTAAAGAAAATAAAAATAATGGTAAACTCTGGTTTTCTGAACTTCTAATGAAGTCAGAATTCGCGTTTATGTTAAACAAATGCACACGCCTCTAAAAAACAAACTGTCATCTTATCAAAACTGTTTTCACTTATATTGAAAAGAACTTTTGTAAAAATTATTTCAACTTAAATTGAAAAAACCTATTGTACAAATCTGTTTTATATTATACTAGACATCACAGAGCGTGCGCTTCGCGGGCGCTATTTAGAGAGCTTTAATATTATACTGTTATATTAATCCGTTGATACACACAACTATCAAAATATACGATAACAGCTGCTCGCAAAGTAAGCGCAACAAGAGATCGCGGAAAAGAAATAACAATACTTGGATAGATTCGAGTATCGAATAAACATGCATGCCATTTTTAGAAATAATGAATGGATAATAAGCCTTTTATTTTGTCTTAGAAAGACATATAATTATAGCATTGAAGAATAGATATTTATTTAATGTTATACTATTTTTATCCGCTGCGGTTAAAAATGCTCTACGGGAGTAACGACTCTGGCGCTTCTAATTTATCAACGTGTCATATCGCGGACTCGCTTAATTACGAAAGCTGGAACGATGTAAACAGTCGATCGATCGGCCCTAGAAAGGCCACGAACCGCCGTTTTGGGATCGCACGGCATCTGTTGCGCCCGCTCCAATGGGCCTTATCTAAATTGTTTTGGCGCCCTCGGGCCCCATTAAGACCGCAAGATTGAAATAATCAGATCGGACGAGTTTGTGCCCAATTATACGCGTGCCGCAACCAACCGTGAGCCTCGGGGTCTCACGAGGGTTAAAAGTGGACGTGGGCGGGCTGGAGTCTAATTCAGAGGCCCACGGCTCCCACCTGGCCAATGTATTCTCATTATATTCCTGAGTCGAGCCCATGCGCCCGGGCGCATATTTGTGTACCCCATAAAAGAAACATTATCCGGATGAGGTTGCGCTTGGAATTTTTGCTCGAAACATACAAAGAAGAGCAGGGAATTGAGTTCTTTTTTACCATAATTTTGTATACTTTTGTGTGGATCTTGCTCTGTAAAAATGGTGTATTAGACTTAAAGCACTTCTCTTTTTTTGCAAAAGATAATTTTTTAATTAGCATAGATTTAAACATTACAATTATTAACGTTTCTATTCTATTTATCGTTTTTTTTCTATTGATTTTAACAGTTCATTAATTATTCTAATTTAGTTTTACGTTGTTGCACAAAAATTTGGAAATGGTTTATTTGGTTTGCCATTTTGGATGAGCGTATATAATTTTTAATTTACTTCGAATGAACGATAACAGCTCCCTAGACTGTTTTACACAATTATTTCCCTAAAACAATTGTTTTGTTATTTATTAGGAATAAATAGTAATCTATTATCATAAATATTATATTAAAATACAATACATATAATCGCAGTCTACTCTAAAAAGCCGCTAAACGACGCCTCGCTTTTGATTTTCTAAAAAATATATACAAAAATTATTTGAAACATGTTTTATTACATATTTAAAAAATCT